TTGAGCGCCGCATCCTTGGCGCCACATTCCCAACACTGTGGCCGATGCAGCGCCGCTTCAGTGCCGATTCAATGCTGCATTTTCTCCCGCATTTCTCCACGCCGCTTTCTTCTCCAACGGTGATCCTCCAGCGCTTTCAAAACTCCATCTTCATACCTTCGACTTGCTGGCGTTTCCATGGCTTCGGGTCTTCTTTTGCCTCGGTCGCTGCTTCCATGCAGCTCGATCCGCACCCGATTCTGGCGCTGTTTCTCGTCGCTACGCCCCTCGGTCGTGGCTTCACCCAACGCCACCATTCCCGGCGTCAATCGCCGGCGGTCTTCCTCACGGCTCCGCGCTCCGAAACCACTTGTTGCGGGGCCCTTTTCGATGGCCTCCGCTGGTCCCCTTTGTCACGCGCGTCCCACTTCATCCGCCTTCACCTAATGGGCCGGTGGCCCCTCCGCCGAACCCGGCGGGCGTAATCAGGGTGCTCGCTCGTTCATTGTGCGGCGGGCCCTCTTGCCCTCTGGGATCGGGCAGTCCTGCCATTCGAAGATGGCGGGTTGCGAGGCAGCTTGCTCCCCGGGCCGTGAGGCCCGTGCGGAGCGAGGTAGTGAGCCAAACGGGTAACAAAGCGGGGAGCAACGCACCCCCGCGTACGTACTGGTGGTCGGCCACATTCCGGCCTGACCACCCGTCACACAGACGCCACGGAATGTACATCAGCGTGTCACGACTGTATCGCCCGGCATACCCCATATCGGACCCACTATCGATACACCGTAGCCCAATCTACCCCCACGGTCTGTCCCTTAAGTACAGGGATTTCCCTAAGCCACAAAGTACTCTATACCTGGGGGATTTTGACAAGTAAAGAGCCTACGAATATCTAGAGATCACAAAGAATCCAAATAATGGGTCGAATCCCATAGATGACTAATCAACTAAGACTAATGGCCATAATTCTCTCGACCCCCATGTGTTTCCACAACAGTGTCGTTTAATAAAGGAGATGACGTCCTCCTTTCGACACAACATATCACCCTGAAACACCCTGGAACTCGGAAATTATTACCAAGGTGGATTGGGCCCTTCACCATCCTTGACCGGATAGGTTCTATCGCATATCGACTGGAACTACCGGAAAGCATGTTTACCAAGGTGGATTCGGCCCTTCACCATCCTTGACCGGATAGGTTCTGTCGCATATCGACTGGAACTACCGGAAAACATGCATAAGATACATCCAATATTTCATGTATCAAAGATTAAGCCTTACAAGGCAAGTGGCAGAGTGCAGCCACCACCAGTTTCTATCGAAATCGAAGGAGAACTGGAATATGAAGTTGAACGCATCCTGGATAAGAGGATTAAAAAGCGTGGCTAACGACAGGACTCAGTAGAGTACCTTGTCAAATGGTTGGGTTATGGTCATGAACATAACAGCTGGGAATCAGCAAAGGCAGTTGCCAATGCACAAGAACTGGTTCAAGCATTTGAGAATGGAAGAGCTCCTATTGTGCATGTGTAAACTGATAGCAGTACAAAAAGTACATGATGAAATGAACTCAAATGCGAATGTGCATGTGATAGGTCCTGCTGAAATGGGCCCAAAAGCACACCAGTTATACCGGACCCCACTCTCACACGTTGTTTGGATATATGAATGCTATGTCCCTTGCAATTTTGAGCGGGGAGAGGGTGGATCATGACGGCCCTCTTGTCAACCCCCCGAGAGCCCCCACTCGTGTGCGTCTGAGTGCACGGCGACAACAGCAACACCCTCGAGGAGGCCGGGGTTGGATGGCCGGTGGAGGCCGGGGCCGAGCTAGAGATAACCTGCATGATTTGATTTTTCAGCAGTAGACATAGGCCAAAAGGCCAGAGACTGAACATTCCAGCCTGTGGGCTGAAGGAAGAGTTTTAATGAGGGTTGTAGGGAGGCCGACAGGTCATGTAACAACCACTCTTTCTCTTTATCCCAGTTGCATTGCAACCATGCGAACTGGGCATGTGGCAAATCGCACAGCCACTTACGGCATATACAATTATGTTTCTACTCCCGTACTCACTTAATGGGATGAGGACGCCCCTCTCCCTGAAGGGGACGAATGTTACGCGCAGCGGCCTGATGTAGGGGACGCCTTACTAACGGCCCTTGGTGTGGGGGACGCCATGCCCAAAATACTTAATCCTCAACCCACTGTAACCGCTCTAGGTATTAGGATACGGGAGTAGGAGGGGTGGTCCCGCCTAGGTCCCTGTAAGGACCTAGGTGCCCGGCGAGGCGGGTCCGCGGCTCAAAGAGGGCAGGAGCCCCACACCAAAAACTTTTTCGTATCACACGGGCCTAGTGTAGGGGACGCTCCACCTGGAACCTATTGTTGCAACTGGTGTAGGGGACGCCTTACCCAACTCCTTCATGATATACTGTATGGGTAGTAGTTAGGGGTGGAACTGCCTGGTGGCCGGTAAGCCACCATGTTCCAAGCAAGGCGGGTCTGGAGATAAAAGAGCGTAGGCGCCCCCAACCAACAATTCCTATCACACTTCGAGTAAATAGAGATAATTCAAGCGTCCACAGCAGCAGGCAAGGTGTGGCATCATTTTTTATCAATTTTTTTGCCTCCAGCAGACGCATTTTATGTGGTTCTGTGATGCTTGACAGCCAAATAGGGATGCGATCCGCCATGCATGGAAACATAAGAAATTTGGTTATGAATTTGGTCATGAAAACTTAGAGACTTCTGTTGCTGATGCGCTGGGTGAGTGTATCAGTCCTTCAATTCCATCAAGAACGATCACTGGGCTGATTGGTGGCATGGCTGCAACGTCACAACGTTATTCCTGAGCAGTACATTGTAATACGGGAAATGGGCAGGCGGAGCCGTAGGTGCAAGCGAATATTCCTGCGAATCTTTCAGGTCGCAGCACAGATTCGATTGTGGTGCTGCGCGTGTGCTGGAAAGGTGGCAAATGAACGAAGTGATGGCCACTTGAGCACTGCAAGAAAGTCATGTGAGGATTAGAAGAGCATGTTTTGGGGCTTGTAGGAGCATGCTCAGATGTGATATGAACAGTAGAGTACGAGGCGCAAGGAGGGTGAGAATGATGTGAACTGCCATGTTTGGATGTGACCTGATAGAAATTGCACAAGATTCAATTGTACTGCCCCTTATGACGTGGCTAGGGTATTTGGGAGTGGCTGCCGCACTGTGTGCAGGCTTCATGCTGCTGTGCCCAGTGTCTGAAGTGCTGAACGGACGGACCATCGTTCGTGAAGTTGCAAACACTCCGTTAGCATTCTCCTGGTGTGCGACCCGTGCACACAGGTCATGGCGCGCAGCCTGACCAGATCGGCTTTGCAGCCAAGAGTTTGAGGACCCCTGCGCTCGAATCTCGGCAGAGCGCGCCCATGGCAATCTCGCCGTTCGAGTGCATGGGTTCCAAGCGATTCTGTGAGAATCGAAGCGGCTTCGCGCGTGTTTCTCTCCCAAGGCCCGGATTTCTGCCTGAGCCTGCATATGCAAGGCGCGAAGGCCAGTATGAGCCGGATTTTCCGTGGCGGAATCGCTGGCGAGGTGTTTGCAAGGGAGCTGTACGACCCCAGATTCGTCTCCTTCGACGCAAATCCAATCGAGCCGGAAAGCGGGACAGGTGAAGGTTTGGCGCTTTGTGGATTTTCGCCCGTTGGCTGCCATGTCAAACGGCTACCTTTTGCAGTGTCGAATCCCCAATCTGTCAATATGGTGCCTCTTCGTTGTCGCAATTCCAACTTGCTGTTTGTTCTGTCAACATGGTGCCTCTTCATTGTCGCAATTCCAAATTGCTGTTTGTTTTGTCTCCCAATGAGTCGTCTTGCAGAGGAGGTTCTTGTGATGCAATGCGACAATCTCTCTCCTGAGAAATGGGCACTTGTGGAGCACAGGCTCTGTTTTCGCAATCTCTTGTGTACCACCGGACAATAATTGACATTGTTTTTTTTGGCAAAATAGGGGGCTGGTGGCTGCCTCGCCTTTACTCAAACCGAGAAACATCTCGCATAATGTGTCTATGTGGGTGCCCAAACTTGTGAGGTCATGGTCAGGTGGATCCTAGAGGTTCTGTTCGTTGACATTGCCTTTTTCTGCATAATAGGGGACCAGCAGCTGCCTCGCCTGCAATCAAACAGAGAAATATCGCGCATAAAATGTGTATGTGTGCGCGCAAACTTGGGAAGTTATGGCCGGCTGCATCCTAGAGGTTCTGTTCCACAGCCGTTTTGGACTAGTCAAGGACCGCTGCACGTGAAAGCCTGAAATTAACATGAAAACGTTCTAGCGGACTTTCTGGGGACTGCAAGTGGCCATACTGCTTGTGCTCCCGAGTTTCTAAATTTCGCAGACTTGTTTGGGCCGCGGACACAGTGCACCCACGAAGGAGCCGCGTTTGCGACGACAGAAATATCAAGAGTACATTAAATATCCCCCCGAGCCCATTCACGTTCAGTCCCCGATACCACAGTCTATCCGCACATAGTGGCCCTTTGGCTCAGCGAGCCAACCACCATCCTGCATGCTCCCGGTACCCACGTCTTGTCTATACACAGTGCCCATTGTACCACTAGCCGGACCCACAGCAGGGGATGTACACGAATGAGTTTTCACTCACCAGCTTGGGTATTGGCATGATTCTTGGCCAAACTTTCTACCACCACAAACCGTATGTGCTAAAATCCATACCAGAGGTGCTAGATCTCCACGCAGCTCCTGGGCCCCCGCCCTACTTCGTCAGACGACTTCCACCATTTTCACCGCCCAGTCATTGTCAACATTGTAATCTTGTTGCAGCCATCCCGGGGAATTCACAGCACCTCGTAGCGGCACGTGTTGCATATCTCAAAACCAAGCTACATCCTAGGAGCTCAAACCAACGCAGCCTCCATTCTCTGTTTCAACGCTACAAACAAGGAACATCAAAAAAAAACGTCGTATCTACAACTACAAGCGCTCAAAAATCCTTGTATACACAGAACTTCTTCAAGGCAGCCTGGGTCTCTTGGTCGTGATCAAATCTTCACAGCCTTCGAGTCCTTTCCTCTTTCTTACACCAGGAGGTCCCTCGGATCCCTGAGACGTTGATCTTGCCACAGGCTGGGGAGCTTGATTGGCATACTGACGGCCATCTCGGCCAGCAGCAGCTGGTGCAACAGACAGCCATATACTCAGAAATCAACGCTCTACAGGCAATCAATCGACCCAATGCGTGACAGTGCAAGCCACATGCAGCCCGCTGAGCGCTTGTACACAGCAGCTCATGATTGAAGAACCCGAGCGCCCCCATGGACAGAGAGCGTGGCTGGGGAGTCGAAGGCTGCCAGCATTCTGCTGTGCATAAGGGTACTAGCAATACCAAATTCCTTTATCCTCCAAGATACTACGTGCAGGATATCCTGCCATGCAGACACTGCCCTTTGGACAAACACTGCTTACCTCCTTCTTCTGATTTTATGTGCAGCCCGTCGGCCGTGGACTTCCTGTTCTCACCACCCTGCGGGCGAGAGACAAACCAGTCGATGACCTCATCATAGTCACTGCTTAGGTTGTGTCGATACATGGAAGACAGTGGGTTGTCTGCCTTGTGTTTTTCCACCGAGGTTGACCTTGGCAACACTGAAAGAGAAGACTTGGCAGCCGAGCCTGCAGTAGCCGCAGCAGAAGCCCCAGCTTCACCCTGTCAAAATTCCAACGGCAATATTCAGAACGAATGTGCAATGCTCCGCATTAGAAACTGCTCAGCCAAAGTATCAGACTGCAGGAAGGGCCTAATGTAGAGCACAGAACAAACACGATGGCGCAGACTTACCACTTCGCTCCCAAAACCACTTCCTTGCTGTTGTAGAAGGAAACAATCGTCGTTTGGCCGGACGACGCAGCTCAAATTTGCGCCCTCCTGGAATGCTATTGACCCCAGCTCAGCAAGGCTACCGAGGTCCTTCAGCCAGCTGGGCACTGCTGTCGCATTGAGAGTCATAGGCTCCACACCTGCTCCCCCTGCCGGCTGTGAAGATTCTGCATCCACAGCAGCACCAATTTCCCTGCTGAACGGGGTATGCTCCTTGTCCTCGCTGCGCTTGGTGTTGTCTAAAGCAGCGCCAGGACTTGGGCTGTGACTTTTTGAGAGCAACCCCAAAATTGAGCTGTTCCAACTGTCCCAATGCAGCAACGATCCCAGGTTGCCATTGTCCTGCTTGATCATTTCTGCAATGGCAGTGACACTCCTGTTGTGCTCAGGAACTACACCTGCCAAAGAGTCGTCATGGCCAGCTGTTGGCATTTGGCAGATGTACTTGTTGAGATCCTCAGACCCAATACTTAGCAATCTAAGCAAGTTCTGTTGTGAAGAATTAAAGCCAGGAACACAGGCAGGCCGTTCCAAGTTCCCTCCCCCACCATTGCCAGACACCTGTCCATCTCGTTCATTACTTGCTCCAAGGTTGCTGTTGACCAAATCCACATGACCCTTTGCAGGAGCCTGCCTTGCAGCGCTTGACAGAAGCCTCCCTTGCAGCATCTGCCCCTGCTGTGCTTGCAGCTGATTCTCGTTCTGAGCTAAGGATGCCAATATGCATGCACCCTCACTGCCACTGCTGAGAGGAGCATTCATGGTTCCAAAGTGAAACCTCACAATTAGGTCTGTCCCAGATTTGCAAGCCCGTTCTGCATCGATTTTGGTGCTGAACATGCCCATATCATGAATGGCACGCCCATCCCACACAGCCGCCCCCATACCGCTGTGCCCAGGTCGCACGTACAGCACCCCAAACACTCCCAAACTACAGGGAATTATCTTCAGAATCTGGGAATCTTGCGGAAGGGGGTTGTGTTCCTGTCCATCTCCAGAAGGAATCTGATGGTCACCCACCCCTTGACCTGATGCGGCACCTGTGGAGAAAGAGCTCCCAAATGCTCCAGAGGGTGTTGACGTCTCTCCACCTGCATTGGGCTGCCCATGTTGGCTGCGCTGAGGAGAGTTTGGCAAAACCAGCACCGGCTGTCGATTTCCCAAATCCATCAGCACAGACTGGTTGACCCCTGGTTGGTCGCCTCCAATATACAAGGCATTCGCCCCAGCCTCGTCATGCTTTGGAGCAGCGGTCAGGGCAACCTGCGAATGCAAGTGTAGGACGTCAGTTGAAAGGCAGCTTTCCAGGTGCTATTCAGGCAACTCACACAGCATGGGAACTTGATTTCCAGCACCGCAAGCCGTTTTGAAGAAAGCAGCATCTCACCTGTTCGTGGCCTCCGCACTCCCCTGGTTGAGAAACCTCCATAACTGGGCCCCACAAGTGCTCATTGCCGCCCTGAACCCCCTGAGCGTCGCTGAACATGGGGCCACTGCCCTGCTTCTGCGGGCCTCCCACCAGGCGGCCGCTGTGGTACCCGCTGCCGGGTCGCCCCAGGCCCTTGGCGCTCGACTCCGAGAACATTCCGCCACCATACACCAAGTCCCCGTGTCCGTTGGGCACCCCGCTCAGGACAGAGACGCCTTGAATGGCAAGATCGGGGAGCATTCCACCGGACGGCATCCTCCGAGGCACCGGCGTCTTGCTGGCCTTGGTCCGGTTGTCCTTGGGGTCCTTGGAGTGGAGCTCATTGTGCCAAGTCTCCAGGTCTTCGTCCGCATAGTCTTCGAATCTGCGCACGGTCCCATTCGCCAGTCAGCACACTCGGCCGGCAATGCCCACGTGCACAGCACATGCGGACGCGGTACCGGAGCCCCCGGAGCCGCGTCGGGAGGATTACGAGGACCGCCAGTCACCTGAAGTTGATCCTGGCCTTCCTCCCCCGGATGCGCACCGCGGCCCTGTCAAACGCCCTGGCGGCCTCCTCTTCCGACACATAGGAACCCAGGTACAGGTACTTGCCGGAGCTGTTGATCGCCGCCTGCCACCTCCTGTTCTTCTTGTTCCAGCACACTCCGCGGTACCTCGAGCTGAGTTTCTTCCCGCCGTCGAACAGCGCCTGAGCGAGCAATGAAACGCCTTAGCGGTGGTGGGTTAGCGGGGTGGGGTGGGGGGCGGGGCAGCATATGAGCGCAGCGCTCCGGCCCGTGGCAGCAGCGTTGACTGACAAGACGGCTGCCCAGCAACACCGGGATTGGAGTCCATTGGGCACGGTGAACCGCAAAGACACCCGCTCGGTGGGCCTCTTTGCTTAACTGAGTGTAAATCAACGAGCCCACCAGCGGGTTAGACTTCAGCCCACCTGCTGTTCGTCTTCTTCCTTCATTAGTCTTGGTCTGCTTGCCTCCCTTGCGCTCTTTGTCTGTCGTGGTTCCACCCGGTGGTGCGGAGAATAAGGCGAGTGGTTCAAAGACGCTGGAGGCAGCTCCACATTTAACATTGCCAAGTGGCCTGTGTGATCTGCCTTCACCAGAAGGCCTGCGCAACAGGACGCACACAACGTCAGCCACCAACACACTGGCACCGACACACGGGCGGAATACTGTGAATGCGTTGTGAGCCAGAGGAAGCAAGCGCTTGAGCGGCAACGACTCGATCCGTCGTCCTTGAGGACGGCAAGCGCTTGAGGCACACCGTCGTGCGGTGTACGATAAGCGCAGGGGCATGCTCAATCCACGTCGCAGCTTTCAAGGTCAAGCGCGAGCAGCGGATGGAAACCCATACAGTGGGGCCATGACAGTAGGAGCGCGAACGCTCCCCCGTCGCGGTCGATCGCGTCCCGGTCCGGCACCCGGCTATCGGAGCCGCGGATGGGTTATCGGGATGTGGTCCCCAAAGCCACGTCGGTCGAAAGTCCATCCTCACCGCCGATCCCCGGCTAAAACAAGCCATCGGTTACACAGACGGTGCTCAAAGGAGTCTGTTGACTGCGGCAGTCCGTTGAGGACAGTCCCGCGCCCCCTTCCAGGATGACGTACACGCGCAAAGGGTATGACCGTGCGCCCGGTGGGGGGGGCCTCCAGCCAGCAAGTCGGTTTGTTCAGACCGCGAAACGCGATTGCCAACCCCTAAGCTGAGCGACCCGCGCCCATGAACCCTACTTTTCGAGCTTGCGGGGTAGCCGTGGCCAGGCTCCCGGCCCGGCTCTGACGATGTCAATGAATGCGACCGGCCAGCAGCCCTCGCCGGGGAACACGTGGGGCGCCACTCAGCAACGCCAGGGGCGCCTGCGGTGGCTGGGTAGCAGCCCCTTCGGCCTTGCGCCGGCTCACTGTGCGCGCTCGCCGACGCGCAACGGTACGAAGTCCACCCTCGACGTCGTGGTTGTGGTGGCGTTCTCACTTTGTTACACCGCCGCTGCTTATACCCCTCCTTTGACATGGGATGAGCAGAGTGACAATGGCAGGCGGGGGGATGTTGGCGCTATGACATTCTGGCCCTCCCTTTGCTTGTTAATGCCGGATGCCGCTGGGGACGCGGCCTGCAGGCGGCGGCCGCCACCTGCGCCATTAATGGTGTGACCTGGGCCGCGTTGGCCATCTACGCGCAGATGCCCGACGTTTGCAGCAGGGTGCCGGCGAACTTCGCCGGAGGGGGGGTGCGCGTGAGCTGAACGTGTCCCCGGTACATTAAGGTACATGCAGAGAGTAGCAAAGGTCCACCAGGCCGACTTGGACTCCCAAGCAGAAAGAGTGATTGCCGCAGGGAACTCACCAAAGCCAGGTGTACCTCCGATTCTCTCATTACTGTTGCTGGGGAAGTCGTTGGATGGATTGGGCAGATAACAACAGGGCGGGGGGGTTGTGCGGCTACCATGGCTTGCTGGGAGGTTGGCATGACGTTGTCGTCTCATGTTGGAGTGCCGTCCAGGCATCTCTATGTGCCTTGGGCCTTCTCCGGCGCCCTGGGCGCTGGGCGGAGGGCTGTGTTTTGTGGCGTGTGGACAAATGTACTCCAAGGATATCATTGGGGGTCGGTAACTTTGTCGTTGCCCTCAAGTTATATTGAGACAAATCTACTCCCAAAAGGCAAAGCACGCCAACTTTGCGTCAAAACTCCCCAACGCTTTGAGAGCTCTCCATCTGTGCATGTCATTTCCCGCTTTCTTGGTCCGATATGATATCCTCAAAACACTGGTGGTTGACTTGCAACTGTGTTGGTATTCATTCTTGCTAACAATTGGTACTCAGACGATCAAGGCTCCTCAAAAAATGCCGACAGCATCTGTAGCATTGGGTTGATGCTCTCACTGCATATGCGTGTTTCCTTGGCTCCGCCCCAAGACGATATCCACCATGTCTGCAGCCTGGTCTCTCATCAAGTGTGCCAAGCCACTGCACCTGGAGGTACCCTGAACTCCATGTGTGGCTTCAGCACCAGCGCTCGAATACGATCATGGCAGTAAAACAGTGTGACTAGCTGTGTGATGGAAAGCTGCAGGTTGAAAGCTACATCCATGGAGCCGCTGGTCCAGATTCTTTGGAGATGCATCTGCACGGGTTGCTCTCCAGCTGGAGTTCTGGGAATTGCAAGATCCTAAATATACTGGGAATCTCATGACAGTCATTTGCATGATTGGTGCAATACGGTGCTCTGTAACCAAAAAAATTGTTTGTCAGACTATTGAACAAATGTAGGAGTGTCAGCACAGATGTAGAACTGTGCCCCGTTGGAACCATTTGCTTAAGGCAAGTGCTTGTTATAATCATGCACGACTGCAGAGTCACAGTCGTGCTAATTGGGTCTTGGACATCCTCGTCCTGACGACATAATGGGAGTGGAACTGTGCCAGTGGTCCATTTGCCTTCAGGGGCGCCTGACAAGGTGCGTCTGGACTTGATGGACAGAGAAATTCCCTTGCCTAATTGACTTCATACCACCTGCCAAAATGTCCAGGGCTGGCTGTGAACTAGTAAGGAAGAGTTCCTTTGGAAGGTGTGGGGTCAGCTTTGTGTTATCATCATTCAGTTTCTCATCTGGGGCTGTTCACGTTTGGATTTTTGGTCAGCTGAGGTACAGAGAATATCAACATCTGGTGTCCCATACAGAACTATGCAGGGCGTACCAATCAATGCTGGGTCAAGAAGGTGGTGGACAGCAAAGTTGGCAAATATCTGCTTCTGGACATCGGAAATAACAAGGAAAGGAAGCAAGTGTTGGACACCATCACACACAATATTGTTGCATTCGTTGCGGGCACATGAAAGCCCAAAGATGCAACATTTGGGCAACCACCAGTAAAAAACATGACATCATTAACATCCAGGCAGCAACAAGTGTATTTTGGTTACTTCCAAGGCAACAAGGAGACAGACAGCGCCTCTTGTTCCTGCATGCTGCCCCATTTTATTTCCAGAAACAGACCATGGAAAAAACTACAGCTGTGATATCCAATCGCCACCCTGCAACAATCAGCTAATGAACAGCACCCAGTTATTCAATTCGACCAGGCCACAGTTTCACTGCAACATTTGCACTTTGCCACACCAGAGATGCTCGAATGGCAGACACTTTGCGCACTCTTGTGAACCAACGTTGCCGTCAGGCCCTGCAAAGCAATCCACGATATGATCAGAACTGTGTTCAGAACAGTGTGTTCTTGATATCACCAATGTATAACAAGCCCCTGGCACCAACTGCCACGAATTGAGAATGCTAATTGCCCAGCCACAGTGACGCACCGGTCAGGATTTTCGCCTTGCATGACGAATTCCATCAGCTCCTCATGCTTTTCATCAGATATGTGAAGCGCCTTTCGCAGCTCCGCCAAGACCATCTCCTTGTTCTGCGTCCAAGCAGGTGTCAAGCACACAACTGAGTAGCAACTCAAGGGTGCAAACTCGTTTCTGCACCAACACTGCCGTGTGCTGTGCCTTTTGTAGAGCAATACTGCAAGGGACAGCCTGCAAGTGAGAAATGGACGCCATTCGATACAAATGAACACTGAGTGGGCAGCAAACCCGCAATCCGACAGCAAAATGGAAAGCATTGAGACTCTGGAGCGCGGCTGCGCCTGTCTCGCGGTGCGTTAGAGCACGTACGTGCATGCCAGACAGCGTCACCATTACCAAGTCGAAATCTTCTTGGAGGAAACACACCAGTACTGATCGGTAGGCAGTTTCTTGGAGTTCCCTGAGCCTGAGTTCGTGCTCTGTCGGCATGGCTGCACCCACAACTGGCCGTCAACGGCCCACGCCACATTCACCACTGTGCTGCTGGAATGTCGAAAGGGTGTTTGCTCCAAAATTCGGCAAGATTGAGGAAGGCCAGCACCTGGGCTGGCAGGGAACCGTCATCCTGTCAGCATCCGTCGTCGCTGATGCTGTTGCGTTGGAAACGAGGCAAACACCCGTAAATCGGCAAGGCGTGGGGCCCACAAGAGCGCCTGGTGGAAAGGCCTGTTGTTCATGAACAGGCACGCCACAGAGGCCAGCGTCAAACACAAACCGAGCAGTGGGCACCCCAACGACAAGCCCTTTGTCTGGGGCACGCCAACTGTGGAGCCTGCGCTCTCATCGCACCTCCGTGTAAGTCTTGACCGCTGCAGTGGGGGACCGCACCACCGGCCAGCAGCCCTCGATCCAACAACTGGAAGGAGGTGAGCGCCAGGCCCACGTCAGCCCAACCCAGAAAGTGAACACGGAGGGCCGGAACTGACCAACTCCCTTGAATCGACAAGCTCCCTTGTGCATTGCACTTCACCTTAGCAACCTTCCGTGGGCTCGTTGAACATTCGCATACTTTTTCCCAGAAACCCCAAGCTTTCCGTTGTTTACGCGCGCAGGCTTCAAAGCGACAACACGCGTCTAACTGTATTGGACTGCATTGGGACATGGGTTCTTGATATAAGAACTGAACCACGCACATCCGGTTTCACCGGGTCCAACGTCGTTTTCCACTGGCGCACCAACAGTATTGAATTCAGCAACAAGCAACCAACACCGTCCCGATTTAAACCCATTCTGCGTTGCCAAACAAACAGGTTGTGGCTGTCCACACGTGCATCACTCGGTCACTTTGTGCAAAGAGGTCGACGGCGGCAACGTGATCGGACACCAATTTATGCATTAGGGCGAAGTCCGACACCCATTTTACGTGGGGGGACTTTGGAGACATTAGGATTTTCGGATTTTTTGTTTTCAGGACTTCTGGATTTATTTCAGGAGTTTGGGTTCGTGCTGCCGCTTGGCGCCAGAAAAACGACGCAGCTGGACGACGACCTGCGAGTACGGCACGGGCAAACGACTATGGCACGCCCCTCGGAGACGGGGAGACCCTCCTCTGACCTCGTCACCCTGAGGGTCAGGACACTGGCAAGCGCCTCACACGAAGTGGAGGTGTCTCGGCATGTGAGTGCTGGGCCAACAGCCAACAACCGGGGCCATAAACTGCAGCACACTCTGGTCGGTGCTCACGCACTATCTGCTTTCGTTGTCGTCGCAGATCACCGTTGCCGATCTGAAGCGGGAGCTGGTATCAAGGACCAACATACCTGTGGAGCGCCAGCGGCTCATTTACCACGGCAGGGTCCTGCAGGACGGGGACGTCTTGTCCAGCCACGGTGAGGTTGTTGACTGCTGTTGACCAAACGCTGTGATACAGCATGCTTTCGTGGAGAGTCCACGACTTCCGTGTCGGGAAACGGAGCGAATGTGCTTGTTCGCTGTGGCAGGAATCGATGATGGCCACACGCTGCACTTGGTGGAGCGGCCGGCGGATGCACCCCAACCGCAGTCCCAGCCGCCAACAGGCGGGTACCGAAATGCCTGTGCCAAGCACGCCTTTTGTTCCTGTCTGGTCCTTTAACCTGGCTTGAAACGTTTCTAACCTTCATCTGTACGCAGGCCAGCCACAGTCCCAGATGGCCAGATTGTCCATGAACTTGCCGGGAAATACGGTTGGGGCTATGCAAGAGGTGGGTCATCCCGTCGCCAGGCCATTTGACTTTCGTGCAATTTCATGGCCTTGATCAGTGTGCTGTATGCTGAGACAGGCACTTCCCTTCTGTTATAGGTCCTGCAGGAACTCCTTGCTTCTTTTGGAGGCGAAGGTGCTGTGCCTCTTGGTGTGCAAGTCAGCACAACCACTACCACTGCTGGGGGTACAGGCTCGGGGCAAGGCTCATCTATGAACGTCACCATGGGGTCACAAGCTGCTAGTCAACAAGGTATTTCTGCAGCTGCCTAGAATTTTTATTTTTGGTACCAAACACCACCGCCCAAGATTGCGAAATTCGCCACACAAGAGGCAGTTTTATGTTTGGTTGTGTCTTAACAGTGCTGCTGCATCATTGTGGTGCTGGGAGCATAAAATGATGCCTGCAGTTAGTCTTCAATTCTATGATGTTGTCAAAGAGAGTTTCCTCTTTGCTACAGCTCTGTTGAAAGTGTTGAATGGTGTTACAGCATAATGTCATACAGAAATCCTGCATGTCACCACCTAGCTTGGCATCAAAAATAGAGCAGCAACAGCATCTGCATCCAGAAGCAGTGTGTCCCCTCCCAGGTTCCTGGAGTGTGAGCATGCATGCAGTGTCCAACGTATGGGCTCTGCCAATAGTGGAGATGTTGTTGACATAATACTGTGAGTGTTGCACAGGAGGGACTCCACCTGCACCTAGTGGACATGTTGAGGAGGTGCCCCATCTGTTGGCATCTGTTCACAACTACCTTCAGCGCCTAGAGAATGCCAGTGTGCCAACCAGGATGCTTCCTATTGTGTCATTGCAGCAACAGCAGCCAGGTGACCAACAATCTGTGAAAATTTCGAAAACAGGATGGCCTTCAGAATGGCCAATTCAGCTTGTGTGCTGCATACATAGTACAATTTGTCCTTTTGCCATAACAGAAGCTGTGTTGTGGCAGGCATGGCGCATGACCTTGCTGCGCTTACTGAAGCTGCTTGTGCAGTTCTGGGGAGAGAGGATGTTAATGAGCGGGTTCAACAGCAGATTGGGGCAGCGCAGCGGTGGGTCCAGGACATACGCCAGGGTGGCCAGAATCCATCAGCAACACAACCACCAGCTGGTAAGTGGCATTGTGAAATGAACAATGGTGGCACGAGAAGTCCATCGTTGTTGCAGAGCAGATTGTACACAGGGTGTTTGTTTCTGCCACTTCTTAACTCCTTGTTGTCCATTCCTGAGTTGCAAAATCCAGTCCTGTTGTGTTCATCATAACGCCCATGCTGTGCCAATTGGAAGTTCGTGCTGTCTCGCACGCTGCAAAAGATGAGGGGCATCAGTGTAACAGGTGGACCCAGTTATGGCACCTGTGTCCATTGTGAGTGCAACACTGGTGGTTTTTGTGAGTTGTGTTACGGCATGCGCTGCAGAGCACAGGAAAATTACCCTGTTATGGCCCTCAAGTTGCTCCCTTTGTGCCGCAGGTACCCCACCACAAGGTGGGCCGCCCCCTCGTTCCCAACCCTATCCCCACTTGCTACTGTTGGTGTCTGTCTTGGGGCACCTTGTCAAGCGAATGGACAACCTTCTCCGCTCCAGGGCGTCTCTCAGCCTATCGAATGCATGTGCACAGCTGCTGTCAGCCACAGCTGTGGACGACTCCAATCAGGAGATCCTTGCAGTAGGTGCTGGATGCAGTGGCCGAAATCAACACAACACATTCATCAGCTGTCACCTGAGATCCCAGTGCAACAACAGCAGCATGCACCATTGCTTTGTGCTGCTGTTCACTGCACAAACAGCCTGCATCACGATTCACTCTGCTGTTATGCGATTGTCATGTTGTTGTCATGTTGTCTGTCTTGTGAAGATTGTGGTGTGTGGTTCATGTTCAGGCATCCTGCACGATCGTGTGGTAACCTTGAAGAGCAGTGCCTTTGCGACTGACTATTATCTTGATCAATTTTAGCAAACCGTTCAGTGGATGCCTGTTTGCTGTGTTTAGAATGGCTTATCAGGGAGCCAGTTGCTGCAATGTTGAAGCTGGGCAGCTCTATTTGCTGTGTCTCTATTGCTGTTGTTATTGAATGTGCGTTGATCACGAAATGCAAGGCAGAAGAGCACTACTGGCTGCCAAGGCAACAATGTAGGAGTGCTCTGGGCCCCCAAGTTGGGGGTGGATCTTGATGTTGTAGATTGCCGCATATGAGAATTTTGTTGCCATCCGTGCATGTACAGATGATTGACTGCATTCTTCCTCAATGCATATGCAGCAGACCAGACCAAGGTTCACAATATACAAGAAATAAAGCAAGAATGTGGTAGCAGTATAATACAAAATTGTGTTGCATTCTGCAGATCAGTTAGGGCAGACGTTTCGACTCGAGTAGTCGCAAGAACTCGACTGCCAAACCCAATCATGCAGAAATCTGGTGTGACTAAGCCATTAACTCGTTTCTGTTAACAGGGCAGCATTCGGCAAATTGCATCAACACTGAATTGGTATGGGGCTCTCATTGTGGAACTTGCACGAATAGCTTCTGGCTTGGTGCCTGCTCTGGAGGGGAACATGTTGCCCTTGGCAGTGAACACAGCATCTGTGATCACTCCTGATGGTGAGTGCATGAAATCGCACCAATGCTGGCCAACAGTGGATGTTGTACTGGTGGAAGACTGCATTGTGCACCAGCAGGCCAACATTAAGGCAATCTGTGGATTCTTAGGTGTGTCCTTGCAGCTGGCAGGATATCAGCAGGCAGTATCTTCCAAAGAAGAATCTGTCACTTTGCATCTGTCGTTTTGCTCTTCGGCATGTGCTGCGATGCTTATGAACCGAATTCGGCAGTTGCTCGTACTGATTCCTAGACCCACTATTATCTGTACCAAAATTGTTATGCCAGCAAGAGCTTCAGCAAGAGATAATGTTGTGGTGTGCTGTTGTAGCACGACAGGTGGCTTCTGTAAATGTCAGTTCACAGTTTCGGGTGTTGTGGATCTTACCTGCGGTCAATTCTACTTGCACTCATCTACATACATGTCTAAAAATGTCTTATTCATTTGTGTGCCTGAGAGCCCAGCATAGGATCTGGCAAGTTTTGCAGCCTTAGCATCGTCAGCTTGCTCTTGTGAGAATAGGAGACAATGACAGATATGCCCTATGTTGACAGACAAACCTTCTGTTTGCAGACGTCCCGTTTTGTGCTGCAGTCTGACTGGTTTGAAGTTTCCAACATATCTCTGCATGATGTTTGCATGGGGAGACATTGCAGTTTCGCCACATAAAGCATTCCAGTGCTGTTCACCATGTGACCACATTGTGGGCTCTGACCTGGTTGTTGACTGAGATGTTTGGTTGTGCCATAGTCCTTACCCCTTTAATATTGTTCCATAACAATGAACAGCTCGCGGATGAAACATAGAATGGGCATCATCTTGATTGTGCAATAAGTAGTGAATAGCCCAACAAGGATGGCAAGAACATCACAAGAAGGGTTTACTGTTGGGCATGAACGTGTCCTGAAATGGGCAGTCCACATTGGAGCATAGAATAGGCAGTTTGCCACATAGTTTCCATCTTCTAGGCATGATTGGAGAACCATTGGACATGTATGCAGCACGTTGAAGTGGAGAGTTGCTCTTTTCCGCAATTTCCCTTTTTTGTCCACACTCTTGTCACAATCACTGTTTTTTCGTTTGCTTCTCACTTAAGCTCTGGTGTTGGACCACTGCTACTTGTGCACTGTGTTATATCTACCTCTGTGCTATTATATTATTTACTGCTTGGCAGTGACATTGGCGCATGTACTTCATGTTCAGGTGCTTTCCCAAGTTTTAGGCTGCCAACTTTGTTGCCTAGAGGCAGCCAAGATGGCCTTGGTGTCTTGGATCCCACGACTGGTCGACTGCGCTCTGCTCAGCTGACAGCAGCAAATGGGAGGCGCGTGACGAGACAAGTGACCCAAGGGCAGCAAGCGGTAGCACAAGGTCGTCAACAGGCAACAGGCAACCAGGCCCTTGGGGATACCATCGCATCTGCTGTGAGCCAGATGGCTGCCGACATGTTCAGTACTTCCAATCGAAGGCCAGCTGGTCAAGGTGCAGAAGCCAACACTGGGAATCTTGTGCAGAGTGTGAGGGCTGCATTCGGTCAGGGCACAGACGGCGGGCCACCTGCACCTCGCGGACTCACAGTGGGTTCTGGTTCCAGCCAGATTTCTGTTGCAATAGGTCTGGCAGCGCCACCGTCGCAGGCATCGAGTGGTGGCTCTGAACCCAGAGGCGGGGCAGCAGCAGAACAGGCCAGCGGACAGGCCAGATCACCTACACCTGGTGCCAGGCAACAGGCAGCTGAGGCGTTAGGCGGGACCCAGCAGGCGGGTGCCACTGAAGGATCGGATTCTTCAGCTGCGAACACTACTGAAAGTGGCCAGGATGCACAGAGGGACATATTGGGCTCTTCTCAGGCTGCTGCACCCAGAACAACCCAGCCCAGGGGTCTGGGCATGAGCTTGGGTAGAAGGGGCCCATCTCAGCCGAGGGACCAACGGCCTGCAGCAGCAGCAGCAGCACCTGCGGCGCGTGACTCACAGGCAGAAAGGGTTCCAACAGCTGCTGGCAGGCCAGGTGCAGGTGAGGGACGTGGAGGATGTGCCTGCAATGGAGAGTACCAGCAGGAGGGGCACTTCGAGTGCACCCTGCTTTTTGGTGTCCACAAATGTTTGAAGGGACAAGATTGGTTCCATTTCTAGGTCATTGACGATTGTCTGCTGTTTCTCTGGTGGCATCTTGGACTGAATGGTCTTGTGTGTGCTATTTCAGGTCTGGACATCGGGACAGTGCTGGAATCCATGGCACCCTTGCTAGGTGGTGGCTCCAACCCATCTCAAGCCCAAACAGAGCCTGGAGGTGGTCTTATGCAGGTGTTTCAGAGTTTGGCAAGCAACCCTGCTGTGCAGCAAATGGCTTCAAACCCTGCCATTCAGAGGATTGTTGAGGATGTTGCTGGCGATGAGTCAGGGCCAGGGGATCTGGGGAGCATCATGAGCAGGTTTGCCTCTCTGGGGAGGATGTGTGCTGCCCTTTTTGCTGTGCAAGGCAACCTTCTGGTTTCACTGATCTGCCATTCTATGCAGGGCATCGTGATTGTGGAAAATGCTTTCAGTATGATAAATGTACAGCCAGTAGTGTCAGCAATGCGAGGCTTGTTTTGATCCTTGTGCTAACAGGAAAAGGCGAATAGGTTGCGGTGGTGAAGTTTGTCATTGTGCATAACAGTTTGGGTGGATTGTGCTGTTTCAGCATTCCACAGACTGCCCACGTTTTTGCGTTAATGTGATCTGTGCGCTATCCCAGGGCCTAGAAAGGGCACTCCCAGGATTGTACTTTGGAGTATGTAAGCAAGGAGTGAAACACATCCTTGCGACTTAATACAAGGATTTACCTACCGTGCTTTGCCAATACAGACAGTGGTGTCCCTGGTTGAAAGTGCTTCGTGTTGAAGAAAAAACTCTGGCGCATATAGCCTGCAGGCAGTGAGGTGGGCCGTATGTGCCTAGCGTGTCTGTTGCCTGTTGTGGAATGGTGGCACATGTTCCACCGCTGTGCATAGTTCCTTTGAGCTGGCGATGATCCCTGTTCAGGTATCTTAAGTGTGGATATTATTGTTGCGGCAGACCAGGGCGCAGATATTGCACGACACCCAGCTGACATTCAGTGTAATGGGTGGCTTAGCCTGGGATGCGTTTGCTATGGCGATTGCTGTTGAAAAGACCATCATCGGTTGGCTGTAGTTTCCCTGTTGCCGTACCCACTATGGATCGTGCTGTGCTATTGGGTATTTTGCTGTTGCACCACGTGATATCCGAGCACGAATGGAGGATGCAAAACTGATTTCCTGCATCAACGCCACCTGTAACATAGAGTCTGTGCCATTTACTCGGATCGATTATTTCTTTTTACTTTTGGGTGGGTAGGTGACTGGAGGAGGCTGCTGACTATATACATGCTTACCCCACCACAAGTGCTTGAATCTTTGCGACGTACTACTGAACAATGTGTTTTGGCACCCGTTGTTGTGTAATGTCCGTTTTGGGGACATTCGCAACCCGTTCTTATAAATGCCTCATGAATGCCACGTTTGTGTACTGCTTTAGTTCTGCTGTGTGGTTTTAAGTTATGGACGACAACCGGTGTGTAAATGCAGGCTCCTCGTACAAAAACAATGTGCTGTGAGTACTAGCAAAGTGGTGTGTATGCATCTTGGCTGAAACACACTGTGAACACAAGAAAAGGTGCTGTAAATGTGCAACAAACAGGCTGCGAATGCATGGAAACACAAGCTGCAAACACAGAAGATCCAATATTGCGAGCAACTGCAGTGGACCGACCCTTATTTCGATATTGGTGTGACATGTCCAAAGCAAACCCAATCATTGCTCATTGGGGACCATCCCAGCATGTGTGTGATCTTTTGAGGCAAAGCCTTTATGGTTTATGACCAGCACGTCCTGGGTGGTGTCCTGTGAATGCAGGATGATGCCCATGGTGGGCCCCTTGGTGAGTCAACTTCGTGGTGGGCAAGGTACAGGTGCACCCACAACATCACCAACAGAGGGTGGCAGGAGCTCTGAGGACCAAAGCACAGTCAGGCGTGAAGACATCGACTCCGCAAACGATGGCGAACCTGACAATGCATGGGAAGGCGAGCTCTCTCCAGAGGATGCTACCAGGTGGCGGGAATTGATCCAGGCCGATGAGGCGGCTCAGGGGTCGTTGCCCCAGCAGCCACCCTTCAGCGACGCCTATATTGCTGGGATGGATTCTAGCAAGGTGGACAGCATGTCTCTTGTGAGTGAGAGTGAGCAAAAAAATGACGGCTGTGGTGGGCGAGTTAGTGAAGAAGGCTAGTGTGCCCATGTTAGGAAGTCGTGTGTGTGTCAGTGGCTTGTGGATGTTCAATGCCTTTTGTTAAAATACATGTCCTGTGGGGATTGTGGCTTTTGCTGCAAGATTTGCTCACTTTGGAAAGAACACCTTGGACAGAGTGGATACATTTCGCTGCATCATCATTGCAATAAGCTGCCGGCAAATAAGAATAGCACAACACAAATTACGCTGATAATTGCATGATAGTGGATAGCATAGTTACAAATGGCCAGATGAGTGTCTTAACAGAAGCTAACTGCACGTGCCTACTCAGCGCCACTGTTGCTCCAGTCATGATTTGTCATTCTGCACACCATGATCAAGAACGTCCCAAGATGAACATATTACATGCCACTGGGAAACTGGCCAGGACCCAGGCGCATGCAGCAGTCACGATGTCCAACAGTGGTGATTGCACCTTTGGCATTTTAATACTTCCCTACTGGCTGCAGAGGTCCCTGTAGTTCCAAAAAAACTAGCACATGGCACTCAGCAGAAACTGTTTGCACAATCATGATATTGAGTCCAACCATCAGGCTACCTTGTGATAGCAAGACCATTTCACTGGGAATGCCAGATTTATTACTGTTGAAGCCACTGGGATAGACCTACATGCAAAGAGAAACGCACCATTGTAGTTCCAAACAATGTCAAGCATCTTTTGCATGGTCGCCAACAACAATGGGTATACTGGCAGGGACTGCTGTTCAGCAACCTCAAACGAGTGTCTAATGTTCACATGCTGCAAGAGATCTGCTTGCTTTGCTCAACGTCCTCAGTCTTACGGCAACGGGCACCACCAGGTGTTCCCTAGGCATTCAGCTCTTCCATCTATCCCAGTCGTTGCATGAAACCCCGCCCCTACAAGAAACTATTATTTGCTAGTGTTGAAGATAGCGCCCCTCTTCTCTAACACAGCCCAGTGCCAGCAACGCACTGTCACAGGCATCTGCCTGGTTCCCACATCAACAAGCTATCCTTCACTCTGCCCCATCCACATGTGAAGCCTGCTGCTTCTTGGAATGCCCGATGCCTGGCTGTGAACCCTGTGCCCTTTCCGTGCCAACACAGCATCCGTATTCGCGCCTTTTACAAGCACTGACGTGCCCTCACTATCTGCTTCACACACCCCAGCCTTGGCACCCGACATGCGATCGTTTGCTGGATCTGCACTGCCAGTCCCTTCCTGCTGGCAGGCTCTGCTGGACTGGCTTCCACCCACAGTCTCCTTTCCAATGCCAGCACTGCAGTTGTTGAGCACTTCTTCACATTCCACAGCACCTGCAAACTTGTGAGTCAGCATTTTATCATGTGGCTTGCCTTCAGCTAGGTGAAGTCCATCCCCTGTCCCAGCCAGGTCACTGCCATCGATGTCACCATCCACACTGCTGGCCATAGAACTCCCGGGTCTAGGAGATACCATCCACCTCCTGAGTTTGCTTCCAATAGGCAGCCCAGAGGTGGGGCTCGTCGGTCCACTAACCTTGTCAAGACCAGGGCCAGCAGCCAGCTGGATCTGCGACACCCATGCTGTCTCCTCCAATGCCTTGCCCCTTGTGGCCACACAATCCTCACCAGCCCACCTGCTGCGTGGTTCCTCTGCACCACAGCTGGGGATCGTCGGTGCCCCATCCTTGACCTGCTCCTGGCCCCTCACGGAGGTACTGGGCAGGCCACCTCTTTCTGGGCTTATTGGGGCGTTTGTCTCTGGGCTGATCAGTTTCAATGCCTTTGACTTGCGTGTTACAACCAAGCCAGGAAAGTCTACATCGAGGTTCACCAACCCTTTTCCATCGCTAGTCCTCCCACTAGCAGCACACGTGCCAACGCCTGCCTGACTGCCTCTGCCTGTGGGGCCAGGTTCAATTGCACTGCTGGATCCGTTGTTGGCACGTATCAGTGCCCCACTGGTGTGTGGTCCTTGTGGCCATTGTTGGTGTGGTGCCGGCCTTGGACAAGGAGGCATCACAGCATATGCTGCTGGGCTGTGGCTGGTCGCATATTGTTGGAACATTGGGTTGGCTGAGGGGTTCAGCGGTGGTGCCATATTCATACTTCTCAGTTCTTGCGGGAAGAACTTGAGTCTGACAGGGTCATCAAGGTAGGGCCCAGGCCTGGATGAAGACAAAGTATTTGTGATGCAAACTGGACTTCACTTAGGCTACAATGCCACCAAAGGAAGAATAATGGCGTATGCACACATAACCATGAGTTGCTGTGACATGCACACCCCCAGACGAATAGCAAACCATAGATGCTTAACTCACAATTGTGATTCCAACAGCAAAATGTGACAGCAACTGGATACCTGGTACTTACACGAAGAGGACCAACAATAGCTTCCTGGGAGTTCCCCAGTGGGCCCACCTCACAACACCGCAGGCTCGCCTCAGAACAGATGATCGCGTTCCCAACCTCAACTCAAGACAATCTTTCCTTCTGAACCGCAGACTGCCGCTCAACATCCTGCATTCGTAGGCCATACACATATATCCTTGTGGCAGCAGGCTCTCCGGAATGCTCATGCATTCCAGACCCTCAACCACTGGGCAAATGCCTTGGACTCCCTTCCGACGGCTTCAGAGGACCAGAGTTCTCATTTGCGCATTCTCAAACCCATTCTTTTCCGTCAGCGTCCCATGGTAGGCATTCGACTTTCCTGCCGCGGAACGCGGGACGCGGGATGTAGGATGGCGCGGCGTCGCACAGCAGTCGCCCGCTGCGCCACCAAGACTGAGGAGGACACCCTCCTATCTCGCACAGGGCAGTGTGGACGAGCACAAGCATTCTCCCGCGACCAGGCCAAACAACAGGCTGTTGACAGCAAGTGTCCCGTGTGTCGCGGTGGGCAGGCGACGGAAAAGGAAAACAGGGCATTGCCCGCAACCGACCCACTGCGCAGCACGAATATCGTCAGCGGTCCGAACGCTGCCCAGAGACCGGCTTGCGCTCCACAAAGCCCCCCAGACAACGCTCACCGAAAGTCAGCCATGGGCGGCCCGGCGCAGACGAAGCCGTTGGGCACCGCCATCAGCGCCTGCCCCTTGGGCGAACTGCTGATTCACGAAACGTGGCGAGGCGACCCTCGTTCGGAGCTGCGCGTCCACGCCCTGTTAGCAACATCCACCTTCAGAAATGGCTTCAACGACTGGGCCCTCCTCTATCGGACACTTGGAGCCCCGTTATGTGCGGCACGCTGTCGGGGGAATTTCGGGACCCTTCGCAACCCCAGGACGTCACCGCAGTGTCAATACACGTCTGATGCAGGCGCTGCCCGCTCGCCATTCAACAATGTTCGACCGACGCACACCGGCGACTGTGGTTGGTGCTGCGGGTTTGCCTTCAGAACAGGGCGATGGGTCCCATGAGGGTTCTTGCCACATAGACGACGGAGTGGCCAAGGACAACACCCCACCTGTGCACCCTGCAAACGGGCTACCGTCAATGAGCGGCTTCAGCTCTCGGCCCGTGCCTTGTGCGCGTTGCGAACGGGGGCCACTCCCGGTTGTGCCTCAAGGGACCCGAGGGGCAGCTGGCCAAAGGCCAGTGGAAACCCTGAAGCACGCAGAACTCTGCGCTGGGCTCCTTTTCATCCATGAGGGCATCTTGTGTGCATATGCATTGGCCAGTCCGAGGGTTCTGGACAGAACCCAGCACGGGCCCAACGCAGACGCCAGATGCCGTTGTACTCGCAGGCGCGCCGCAGGCTGCCGTGCATCTTGCTTGAGTCAGCGCGTCGCATGTAACGATGATTGATAGGCTGAATAATTTGGAGTCACATCGGACAACCGCAGAAGATGCGTCGCCAGATTTGGGTGACGCTGCTGTTGCAATGAAAACTTTGTCTTTTGTGTGTGTGGGAGGTGAAGTGCGTGCCATCCGACTGGGACAGTACAGTAATCAAGGGTACCTACCTGTTTCTTTGAGGACAGGGACAATATATTGCAAAAAGGATAACTGATGTCAAAACAGGGGATGCCTGCAGCTCCATTCAGTAAAGCCCTCAGGCGGTTCTTACAAATCGACGTGTCTGCTCTCACAATTGATGTCATTTGTGCCAAGCAAGCAATGCTCTGGTCAGGATAGAGTCACATCTCGCCCACACCCTCAGCTGCAGCTGGTACATGAACCTGTTGCTGTGCCATCACGCAGCATTCAAAACAAGCCGCAGACTAGCCCGCTCCAAGCAAGGAGCAGGAATATTAACAATCGCGCCATTGTCTGTAAGGATGTGCTGCATTGGCTCGTTTTACCTGCCAGGCAGGTCCTCCCCTATTCAGAATATGCAGTCTTGACAGCACATCGCTTGAAACATCGGCAGTTCTCAGTCAGATGCACTTCCCTCGTTGGTACAGGCCCTGTGGCAACCTGCCAAAAGGGTAAAAGGCTGTCCACAGGTGGCCCAAAAGAACAAGCTTCTCTCCAACAACCACTTCATGCATCAGCACAGTCCGCCAAGTCACTGATAGCCCGTCCACTCACATCAGGGGCACCTCATCCCCAGCCCGGACAGCTGTCTGCAATGAACTGCACGAATTCCTGAGCGCCAGTGGCAGACAATGAGGGCCCTGTGCACTCCACCTCATGCAGATCGCAGAATGGACAGGAGAATATTGCTCCCTATGCAGTGTTCAGAAGTGGATTGTCATGACGAGGCAGCTGTTTCATCGTCACTCAAGCATGGCCAGGGTGACGTGTTTGAAGCTTCAGGAAAGGTAACCATAGTATCTGTACCGTTTCCAGTCGCCAAGTTGACACATGTTGCATCAGGCGATCAGTACACCTCCAATGACCTCCTCTTGACAAGATGTGTTGGTGGTTCTTCCTGCCGATCAGCTCCCAGACCATACCCAGTAGTAATAATTCCTGGCTGCCATTCCTTCAATAGCCCCTTTGGTGCTCAATCAAATCTCACATAACGATGGGAGGTTCTCTACAGGGAAATGCATCTGTTGGAGGGACAAGTCAGTGGATCCCTTGCGATGAGATGCAGCCCTGCATGCTGCAATCATTCTGTCATGCTGCCTCCACTCAAATCTGTCCCAACTCCCCTGGTCCTGAATCTTCCAGTGTTGATGCCTGTAGGGGAAGAGGGGGTGGAGGGATAAGATTTGTCACACTTGAAAAGCAAATAGGTCCTACAAAGTGCTGACCCTCCTGCGCAAGTGTGTGATATACTCTCTTTCGCAGAGTCTCCAAGTGCAAGACTCTCCATATCTTGTCACAGTATAGAGGGGAAGCAGGGGGTGGGGTGGGGTGGGGGAGCGGTGGATTGCAGTTGGGGTGGTATGAGTGTAGGTACATGGGGCTTTAGTGCATATCGGGTTGGCTGATGGAACGGTGCCACCCACTGTAGCACCAGTCCTGGAGGGTATACACTGCACCTACTGCTGTTATTGGCAACAGAGTTCGCATTTCAGGCTTCTGTATCTGTGAGAAGCATGGACAGTTGTTTCAAATTTAGTGCCGACAAATGCCAAGGGCATCTAGGATCTCAACTGCTGTCAGTGGTGATGTGCACTACACCCCACATCTTTTTTGCGCCCAAACATGCACAGGGCGTGATTCGTGAGTGTCCAAGGGCCCTCCTTCCCTCCAGGCATTAAACTGCTACTCTCATGAAATGCACAAGGCGCATGAAAAGTTTGTGCCACGTGCCTTGGAGCACTAACAACCCCCAAGATATTCGAAACAACCACCTGGCCGTTGCGACTGCAGTCGAAATACTTGATTCCACTCTACACAGGCGAGTGATCTCCAGCACGCTAGCCAGACTGTGTCAGCGGAATCCACCTTGCTAAAGACGCCTGGGTCCGACGATTCTGGCCACGCGCTGATTGCGTTCGCCAGACGCACGCCCTGGCCTTACTACAAATTCACCAACCTATGGGACGCTGGCCTTGGAAGCGCCCGTGGTCCAACACTCTGGAGACCCCGGTGCACGTTCTGTTCACGCGTCAAATACAGCGGAGCTAAATGACGCGCTTCGGGCGGAGCAAGGCTAGCCAAGCGCACCTCTGGTCAGAGCACACTTGGGAGGGCGCTTGGGTGGTGGATGCCGATGCCAGAAACCAGGCCTGCAAGGGGTCAGTGGGGGTTTAGGTCCTATTTGGAAGCCGAATTCAGAATTTCTGTCAGGCCCAAAACAGGCGCCGCCTTCCCTTGCTTTCGGTAATGTGGCCGCAGGCACCCTCCACAGCTGCCGGCCATGAATTCCATCGAACTCGCGAAAGAGCGGCAGAGGTCGGCCGAAGTGGAAGCGGCCGGCGGGCTGGACAAGTTCCGGCGCCATGCACTGCAGCACCTGTGGCACGGGACCACGGTGAAGGTTGGGCACCTGGCTGGACATGGAAATGCCCGAACTGCACGCGCTTAAAGCCCGTCGAGATCTCGTCCCTCGCGCCAGTTCTCTGCTAGGCTGCAGAACAGACGGCAAAGAGTACCTGTAGGTCATGCCTCGAGGGGATGTGCTCCGTCGTCACTGCTTTGCAGATTCCCAAGCCGCCTGCAGGTTACTGGTGATGAGGGAGACGACTGTTGACTGCAGGAAGCCCACGCGAGCCCGGTGAGTTGCGTGTCCTACAACCACGCGTCGGCGGAGTCCAGAAACCTATTCGCCAGCGTTGGAGGAGATCAGGTGGGCGCTTGGAGACGCCGAGCGCTGGCCAATGGGCCCGGCATCCCGGTTGGCGCCATGGCACGCCTGCCGCAGCTGTCGCTGCCTTGTGCTTGTGGCGACGCTTGTGCGCGACGCCATTCATCCTTGGCATCCTTTTGACGTGCCTCTCACCGGGCGATTCCTGCCGTGAGACGGCTCATTTATTGCCCAGAGAAGGGAAGCCCCAGTTTCTGGCATGTGGGCTTCTGTCGCAAGCTTTCCCACGGTTTCTTCTGCGTCGGAACAACAGGCGCCTCTGCGAGTCAAGATGTGCCTTGACGTCTTGAAGAGTGCGTCTGTTGGCGCTCTCGTGAGGGCATTCATGTTTAGGCTTTACAATCCTTTGGAACTGTCCGACTGGTGTGTTCGGCTTGAGATGTTTATTAAGCAGTTGCTGGCGTCAACACGTGAAGCCCTGCCTCTCTTACTCGTTCCTCACTCAGTGTTTTGCCATGCCTCCAGGCGACAGTGTACAGGGATGATCACCTTGGCGGATACGTCTCCATCTTGGTGCAATTCACTAATGAGCAGACCAAGCTCACCAAGGGCGGAGTAAGAAGTCGAGTTTCGTGAGGCTCTTTGATTGTCTGTTTGGATCAAACCCAACCAAGCGATAGATCTTGTGGCAGCATGTGCGTTTGTACACACCAGAAGGGGCCACTGAAGTTTTCCATTACATGGTTCTGTTGTTGAGAATCCAGTCTTCTGGGAGTATGTTTACCACTTCTTATGTTGTGCCTGGCAGATAGCAGACTTTGCACAGCTTTTCAAACTTACAGGATCATGTCTGGTTGTTGTCTTGGTGTTATTCCGTTTGTGTTTCTTTCACATTCAATGTTTGGCGTTGATGGGCTGCAGGGACTGAATGCATGTGCTTGGCTCAATGCCACTGGCCTGCATGACCCACACCAAGAGGATGAGTTGCTGGTGAGGACTAACTCCAACTGTTGCGCCCAAAAAGTTGTTTATCAGTGTTGAACCGCGACTGTGCAGTGGAGGGCTTTGTACTTTCCAGCAGCTTGTCTCCAGAATGCTGTGCCTCATGTCTTTCCTTGTGCTTCAGGACTTGTTGTCCAGGGGCTGTTTGTGTGGCTGGAAAAAACAGTTGCAACACAGTTTTGTCTTTGGCACTGAGACTCTTTGTGCAGAGCACCCACTCCCAGACTGGCACCTGCCGACGCCTTGTTGGATGCCCTGTCACCAGTGACATATGAAAACATTGCAACCTTAAAGTTCCACACAGGGCTTGTAGGTGTCAAAGCAGCAGACACAGACAAATACACAATTACTGAGCCAACTTCCGCATGAGATTTGGAGCAAGTCACAAGCGCTCTGCAGCTTTACACCAATTGGTGTTAACGTGAGACATTGGCGTTTGTGGTTATTTCCACCCATGGACAGGCAGTGGCTGGTACAGACACGAACATCTCTATCATCAGCATTGTGGAGGCGCAAGTCACTGCATTGTTAAAAGGTGGGGACCATGTTTGCTGTGCAGATGTAAGGGTTCAAAATCTGTATGTGTACAGACTTTCACACATTCAGCTCGACACAGGCTTGGGGGAAAGGTCTTCAGAGATGTGTTGCCATGCTACTATGCTTTCCTCAGTAGTTTCAGTTAGGTGCAGACCCAGGGTTCGTCCACTCCTGGCTTCTGGGTGACCCTGTACTCCATGTTCTGGTATGCTTTGTGATGTTCAGGCCACATGTGCCAGGTGATTGAGCTGGTGAGTGCCAGGGATGCCCCTGGTTTGTTTGCCTCTCTGTCCAGCGATGGAAACATCAGGGTGTGGGACGTCTTCTCCCAAGCATGCGTGGTATCCCTTGATGCCCAGGCACAGTGTATGGTGAGTTTCACCCTCTCATCGGCCCATGCAAATGCTGCTGGCTTCCACACAATTGTCATTCCATTAGCAACCTGCCCTGAATCTCTCATGCCAGGCTGTTGGGTGTTCAAACAGAAGCAATCCTAACCTCCTTCACCCCACCCACCTGACCTACCCACCCGAATATACTCTTATTGTTGTCCATATATCAATCCTCTGATGGTTGTCTCATGGTGGCAAGACATGGACAACAATTACAAATGTTCCAAGGACCTCCTCTTATCACGTCCTCTTATCAGAATCTATGCTGGCTGGGAAATTCTGTCATTGAGTGCTGTCAAACGCCAATCGACAGGATGGCTCTGTGCACATTTTGCATTAAAGCAGGTGCTGGGCTGTTTGTCAGGCGATGCATCCCGATGGCAAGTACCTAGTGAGCGGGAACAAGAAAGGTGACATTATAATGTGGCCCATGAGCTTGAGTAGAGAAGGATCTTGCTGGCAGCACAGTGGCCCAGTGCTGCAGCCACAGGCATTGACACTGGAAGGGAGCAAGCTCAGGGATATGGATTGTTTACTTCTGTTGCCAGGTCGGTGGTGGCCCCATTGTGCCAGCTACAAATTCTGCAGTGATTGAATCCTGAAAACCGTGTGTACTGCATTCGGCGATGTGACAAGCATTGCCCTCCGGATTCCAGCAGCAACCCTATCACAATCTACATTGCTGCAATTGCTTGCACAGGATGCGTTGCTGTTTTTTGAACCTCGAAGCTTGAACATCACAGTAGCTTGATATCGCAGAGTGTGCTGCTCGGAGGAATTTTGCTACATCAAGTGTCTACATAGCCATGGATCGCTTGCCTGATGTACTTCAAGAATTGGGTACATTGGGAAATGCTGTCAACAATGGTATCACTTTGGCTTTTTTAGGTTCGCTTGGGCCCCAGTGTTGCCTACTTCAAAGCTACAATGTCTTCCTCTGGGTTTCTTCAACAAAGGATAACTCGTGGATGATCTTCCTCCTATTTCAATGACTGTTTCAACAGGTGATAGACTTGCTGGCAAGTCCCTGGATGGTCATGTTCATGTGTGGGACTTTGAAGGCAAGACCACAATGGCAATGTTCAAAGTTCCAGACTCTGGTCTGGGAATGACCCCCGGATCTCACATCAGAATGAGTTCAAGCAAGGATGGTGATCTTTTGTGCATAGGTAAGATGCTTCTTCAGTGGAGTCTGATATCTCTCCACAGCCGATATTTAAGCCTTGAAATTAGCCCTTTACACCTTGAACCGAATTACTGTTTGGTGTTGCTCCTGCAACCAACCCACCCCACAGGTACCCCAAAGGTGCTCCAGCCAATCACATGTTGACCATGTGTTTTCCATTTGTTGTTGAGACACGAATGCAATGTGCCCCAGTCTTGAGCTGTTTTGTCTGCTGCAATGCAGGAAACATATCAGGCACAATCTACATCCACGACACCAACACTGGCGACCGAGTCATAAGTCTTTCAACGACGAAATGCAGCTCTCCAGTGTGGTCATGTGCTGTGTCAGAGCACGGAGATCATGTTTTGGCTTCCATTGGCAATAGCACCATCCTGCGTTATGAGTATTGCCGATCCGACAGCGATGAGGCATCTGAAGAGGCCGTTGCAGTCCCAGAGCAAGGCGGTGATGCCATGGACATGGATCAGCACAGAGGCTAATTGACCATGCATTGTAGCTCCAGCACACAGCATTCCTGTTGGCATAGCACTGCAGATGCAAGTGATGTAGCTCATCAGCATGGTGATTCGACGGTGGCTGCTGCAAGGACGGCTTTCTGCAGTGTGGGTAGAGTTTGGGGAGAGGACAGGGCTTGCATGTAGTACATATAATAGCTGGTATTGTTGAGGTTCTTGCTACAAACTATGTGAAAATTCACAAGGGGCTCGGCTTCGCCCCAGACCCCACAACCTAAATCTTTCCTCTCCTAATTGCTGTTTGTTTTGGTCTCTTCCAGTTCACATACAATTGTTTCATCTATGAACTTTACCCTTTGAATCAGATAGCCATGTAGTTGCACCAAATAGAAGTCTCTTTTCCTGACATACCCTGTCTACATTCATGGGTTTTTGCACAAACTGTGCAACACCTTGTGTTTGTATTGTCAACAATGCTGATGCAGGGTGCCCTGCAAAGTCTGGCAAAGGGATTCCCATCGCAGTTAACTTCTTATCTACTGTTGTCTGTTTAATTTGTGAACCATTGTTGTTGGCAGTGTCACATATAGTCGCAGGTTGGCGGAATGGTCCTGATACGGCCTGGGAATCCTTCCAGATAGTGAATTAAAGTTATTTGCAAAACTTAGGGAAGACACTATTTTGAATTTTGTACACTTGGCATCAATGTGATGTTAAGCTCAGACCCCTCCCCCCTCCCCCTCCTTAGTGTCATTCCTTATTTCGGTGCCCAGTTGACTCACCAACACTACCTAACAATGCCATCGATCTTCAAAATGTTTTTAAGGGAGAAAACGACCAAAATGTGGCGATTGCAGTGATTTGAACAATGGGATGCCAAAAGCACTGGCAGGCGATGGGAGCGGTCCCAAAGCATGAAAATTGATCCATTCTAGTGGCTTCCTCGAAGATTGAAAGTTTGAGTGAAGTCTTGCAACAAGTCGTGATCTATCTGCCACTGATCAGAGGCGGTTTTGTGCATCTTCCCACCTTGTTTTGCTTTTCGTGCAATTACACAATCACTTAGTGTTCAATGGCTGCCCCCCTTCCCCACCCCCCTGTCAAGTTGATGCTAAGTGCACAAAACTCAAAATAGTGTTTTCCCTTGTGCTGTGTACACGCACCCTCCATTGTTCACAAGCCAACCTGGGAGTGTTGCTATCCACTGGATTGTGGATGGTCTTAGTGTCGCTTGTGTTGCTCTATAAACTGTATCTGAATAAAAAGATGGCCACAAACGGTTATTTGATATGTGCATTGCAATGTGGGCAGATGTCAACAGAACGTAAATTGGAGGTTTGCGTTTGAAGGTCTGAACCTCTCTCAAACTTTCACGTTTTCAAGAACGCAAACGTCTGTCAGACTGACTTATTGGGCTACACTTCATTCAAAAACCGACGAAACAAGGTCGCTGCTGTTTGAGGCGATGGCGGGCATGTTGTCGCATACAAGAATGTTCCAAGCGTATGTGCGTGCCCACACTTATCGAGAACACAGCCTGACGGGTGCGATGGTTTGAATGTCATCACACTTCATTTGATTCTGACGGCGCCAATCGCATATTTCTTGGAGTGGAATTCACCGAAGCTGTTGATTCACAAGCTGCCATGCCAGGCCTCATCAAAACTATCGAAATTCACAGGAAGCGCAGAACTCCTGCACATCACAAGTCGTGAATTCAGCTCACCAGCATAGATTTTTTGCGATCACAATACGTATTGTTATCAGTCATATTCTATATTCGCAACCTTGCATATTGGCAGTCGAAGGCCACGTGCAAAGGGCATGTTGGTGTGGCTTCGAGCAGCGTGCTTTCTGTGTGTCCTCTCAGAGTATTCGTCTGAATGCGCCCTCATCGATACTATGCAGGCTAATCCAAAGTTTGCCAAGTGGGAAGTTCAAAGTTCCCGTTCAATTCACTTGTGTTCTTGGATGGGGCAGCACCAACAAAAAGAACAATCAAGACGATTCGCAGGGAGGTTGAGCTCTGGACCGTGATATTGATCCTGATATTGTCTACTTGCATTATTGAGAAGAACTCAACTGTACATTGCTGTAGAGACGCACTGGTGTGCTGCTGGCACATTCACCCCCTGCAATGCGAATGTTGCCAGCACTACTGCTAGCGCATCACCGAATGCTGTACCATGCACACCTGCCGCATCACTCGCTGCCAACCAATACGACTTTGCAATCTATCATGACGCAGAGTGCTTTCAGGGAGTTTTCTGCGTGGCCATGGAAACACGATCAATCGAATCTGAAGAAGTGCTGTGCGTGTTTAGTATCCCGTTCACCACCTATCAGGTGCAAGTAACTTGCTTTGCCTTTTTCGTCACCATTGCAATCAAAGGAATTTGAGTGAGGAACGTTTTCCGACCGCAGGGCTTGCATTCGGTCCTAGGCCAATGCCCCACAACACTTGGCATAGCGTTAGGCCCTGCCCTCAACGGGGTCATCGTATAACATGCAGGGATCATGCACATCTCTTCAGAGATGGCTAAATATAGTCATTGGCGCCACCCATGCAAGGACCAGACCGGCCGCCCGATCATCCATGTGGCACCATTTTAAATCGTTGTACGCTTCCAGTTGTGTGGTCAGCAACTCCCTGGATTGCAGCCTTCAGAGATCATGGTGGTTTCACAGCGCACTGCAGATCGTGCACTCTACATGCACCCCCTGGTCATGATAGAGGCAGGCTGCGTACATATGAGCGCTATTGTTAAAGTCGAACCTGTTCGAGTTGCCGCAAAATGTGTTGTAGTGAACAACCATCTTTGCCTTTATAACTTCATTCTTACCATTTCTCACCATGACAATTGAACTAACTGGATGGGATTGCCCGAGTATGCCACCATTTCAGTCAGAGAAAAAGCATTTTCGACAGTGCTCTACAGGGGCATATACACCCCCGTGCGGATATATGATAGGCCCGGGAAAGTGCTGCAAAGTCCCCAAAACATTACAAGGTTGCATTGAGTGAAGTCAGACAAATGGGTGCCATACAGTTAGAACACCAGAAAGATAATTGGCGCACCCCTTCATACAGGGGAATGTGCATAGAATATTGCAGTACACGGGAACCCCTTGCAAGAGTATTTAGTGGGATCCCATTTGACCCGTGGAATGCAGCAATGAAAGACGCAACAGGAACAGTGCGTGGAGCCATTTTGCTTGTATGGCCAGCCACAAAAGAAAGCAAAACACTATGACAAGGTTGTCGCAACCCCTCGCCGTGTGGTGCCTTGAGCTGGAATGGGAGCTTGTGCAAGTGGGGTGCTGGTTGGCCAAGTGGCGCATTGCACATCCTTTGGATGGGCACCCAGAATGGCGGGTGGAATTCTCCATCCGGAGGAACAAGATGGCAGAGGGCCACCAAAACATGTTCCCACCATTCTCCGATTATGTCGAGCCATGTGTTTTTGCACACGAGCTTGATGCGCAGGTGCAGGAGCTGTGGAGCCTCTGGGTGGATGCAGAAACACATATGGAGGGAGGGACTATAACCCGACTGGAGGAGGAACTATGGGAGAATATCCGTGATTGGCTGGAGAGAGCCATAGAGCATGACTGAAGATAGGAGCTGAATGTGTCTAATCACCGGCCCCTCTCCATGACCTGTAGACAAGCATCATGGTGTGCCTCTTGGAGCGGGGGGTAGTGCCAGTGCGCTTCTCGGTCACACGCCAGACCAAGGCTCAATCGGGGATCCACTGAGGCGTGCGGTTTGAGGTGGCCTGCCAAACTGGCACTACGTGGACTATGGAGGGCACAAGGAAGAGTTACAGAGAGGCCTTCTGGGAGTGTGTAATGGTGGAACATTAGGTTCATGCATAAAGTAGGTGGGCGTGTCGCCCCGTGTTGTCCAAACACGCTTAGCACAACTGGTAGTGGTACTTGGGGACCAAACGGAACGGGTTTGAAATAATAAAGGCTGGCAAGCCTTGGGGACTGGCGGGACGGTGAACGGAAGAACAAGGGACAACGGATTTGAATTGGAAACCGCCAGGTGTGCCAGAAATAGGGTGACTCATCCTATTTCTGGCATGACCCTTGGGATGCCTTGGGAGGGTGGGTATAAATACAAAAACACCAAACACGTTTGTAATCGAAGTTGCAAGGCAAGTTCTGACCAGGCCGGCTCCCGCCTCGAACGGGATACCGCGGGCCGTTTCCCGACCAGCCAAAAGGGGACGTCGCCCCTTACAAGTGGTTTCGGAGCCTTCAATTCTGACGACCTCAAAGGGACGTGAGGATCTGACCCGCCGAGTCAAGAACTGCGGCGGCAGCGTGTTGCGGGAGTTGTTGAGGGGTGGCCATCACCGCAGACAACAAAAGAAAGACCGCGTGATACCATCAATCCAAGAGGACAGCCAAAGATGCCGAGAAAACATGGCCGGAAGACCTAGGTGAGCGAGGGCGGCACGACAGGATGCGGCGGGAGAGCCAAGCCAGGGGCTGCGGCAAAGAAACAAGGTTATCAAGGGGCGGAGACCATCGCGGCGAACAAGGAAACCGTGTGGAATTCGTTATCCCCGGAACACAATCTGAAGAGACCGGGATACGGCAACCGGAGGCGCCAAACGCGCGAGTACGGCACGACAGAAAATGGTGGGAAAACTGCATAGAAACAGCGGCTAGGCCGAAGCAGAGCAAGCTGGGTTCCTCGGACGCAATGGGAGACGAAGAGATGATAAGTGATGCGCTGGAGTCTTGGCAAGGGAGACAAGCACGTTTGTGGACGACCATCCATGAAATGGGTCTATACGAGCAGCCACAAAATTGGGAAGAATACAGCGAATTACAGTGAGACTATGAGCGATGGGTCAGCACGCAAGAGGAGCCCTCGGCGCGGAGAGACCCAAATAAGGAAAATAACGAGATGCAAGTAAGGCACGGGAGGTTGCTCCGCTTCAAGGGAACGCTGGGTGGACAAAAGATTCGAATACTGATCGGCAGCGGAGCAACCGGTAATTTCATCA